ATTAATTATTTATGAAAATATAGTTCATTCTATAACATAAAACATATACATAAATCGAAGTTTCACACTCTATATAAAGTTCACAAAAATTCAAACAATTTTCATCAAAATTTTTATTCCGAATTTCTAGTTAAACAAAATGCTGTTGCGCATTTTCTTTCATATAAAAATAGATTTTGGATCACGTGTTATATGTAATGTTTGTATCATGGGTTGTATGAACATTTTTTGAACCATCCGTATATGTAAATATAAACTGTCAGCAAGACGATTTAAAAATTTCAGCAATTTCCAAGCAGCGGGTTTTTTAAACACTGAGTAAGGAATACGTGATTTTGGAAGATGAGTCCAATGTCCATGGCTTAAATCGAATATGCCAAGGTTGCGATACATTTAATGACAGCTTATTATCCTTCGCAAACATCGCACATTTAGAAATCGAGTCCCTGGGAAACATTTTCTATAGGCAGCAGAAGGAAGACAATTTTTTTTGCAAAATTAAAGTTGATTTGCGATAGGTCGTTCAGACAATTTTGTTTGCACTAATCTTTTTTGTTTTTGATTTTTTGTTGAAATAAATAAATAAATTTTTAATTAGTTGGAATATTTTTACAAAATTTAACAAAATTGGTTTAAAATAAGAAAAAAATATTGTTTGTCATTACACGTAAATTTAGGTTTTTTTTCCATTAGTACATACAGTTGCGGTCGAAATATTAGCACCAATATTCAGAATGATGTTGCTTGCAACCTATGTTTATTTATTTCTTTTTAATAATTTTCATTTAATATATAGTTCGAGCTATGACAGAAACTATATAGATAAAAGTTTCGAAATTTGCACAAAGTTCCCAAAAATTAATAAAATTTCAAACTTTTTACTTAGAATCTTTGTAAAATTTTCGAGTATTTATGCAGTTTTGTAGCCTATTCAATTTGGGTGTGATGAAGTTTTGAGTCGCTAAAGATTACCGTTGATTTTTTAGTTTTTTTTTTTGCTGCGAGTGTTGAGCATTTTCTTCAATGTAAAAATAAATTTTGTTGATGCGTTATATGGAAGAAAATACTCAACACCCTCGACAAAACAAATTATAAAGAACTTGAAACTTACACTTTATCACACTTAAATTGAATGAGCGAAAAAACTGCATACCCGAAAATTTTCTAAAAAAAAAAAAAAATAAAAATTAGGAAATTTTAATTTTTTTTTATTTATGTAGTTTTTGTTATACGTCGAACAGTATTTTAAATGAAAATTACTAAAAATTAATAAATAAATATAAGTTGCAAACAATATCATTTTGAATTTTGGTGCTATTATTTGGACCGCAGCTGTACATATGTATTCACTTTTGTTCAATATTTATAATTTATAAAAAATCTTGAAATTAAAAACTGTAATTTTTTAATGTTGTATGTTGTGCAACTAATAGCCGATTCCATCAGCAATTTAAATGGAAAATTATTTTTTATTTTCTGTAAATTTCCATATAAAATTAAGAAAATTAAAATCATTTTTCACTTAAATTGCTTTCGTGAAATTGACTGTAAAATGTGGATTTTACAAGTTTTATTAATTTATATTTTTATAAAAGTTTTCTATTTGTAAAGCAGCGATTTCATTTTTCTATAGCTCTGGGTATAAAGGACGAGTTCACAGTGTGCATAGTTAAACAGTTGTTAACTTAACCGCAAACAAGACTTTAACTATGAATTCATATTCACAGTCGCTTAGTTAATAGTGATTTCGAAAAATCAACATTTTTCTATACAAAACAAAATCTTCCAAATCTGGTTTTCTATCGATTGTTTTTATGAAAAAGGTTTAACATTCGAGTACATCTTGACAATTTAGAATTGGTTTGAAACCAAATAATATTTGACAATTTAGAGTCATTTTCAGGAAAGCAATTTAAGTGAAAAATTTATATTTTTATTTTTATTTCAATATAATATGAAAACTGGCAGAAGCAAAAAAATTATTTGAAAAAAAAAATCAAATCAGCTTCCGTACAGTTAAAAAAAATTTAGTGCGTTACAAGTACAAAATACTAAAATACACCTTCAATATAAATTTTAAGGTCTTAGTACCAAAAACAACGGAGTTCAATGCTATTTTTTAAAAAGTCCTACCTGTGTTTTGTTTTGAAGTAAGGTGACGATATCGATTGCTGAGTGGAAGATCGACCTATCTCGGCAGCCAGTTCAAAAAATGATCTATCTCAAAAAACTTTTAAAGAACGCCCGATTTCAGAATTTAATTGAAGAACGTCATATTTCAGAATTCGTCTCAAAAGCGCCCTATCTCAGATGCCGATTCAAAAACGTCCTATATCAGCACATTTTCAATACATTTTAAAGTGAGATAGGGCGTTTTTGAGGCGAATTCTGTGATAGGGCGTTCTTCAATCAAATTCTGAGATAGGGTGTTTTTCAATAAAATACTGATATAGGTCGTTCTTGAATAGTTTTTGGAGATAGGGCGCTTTCGAACTGGCTTCCGAGATGGGTCGATCTTCCACTCAGCAGTCGATATACTGATATAAAATAAATTCATACATACTTATACCACTCATTTATTTCAATATTGTCATAACTCAAAAAACCAAACACTCGAGAAGAACTGATTTAAAGTTTTGAACTTACATAATATTTAAAAAAATTAAAATTTGATTCTTGTGGTTTTTGCTATTGAAATAACTATATTTTTATAAAAAAAATAAGAACAATTTGGAAGGGAAAATATAAATATATAAAATTGTCAAAATGTCAGGGTATACTTGCATTCATAAGTACATACGCGAGCACTCATCTAACACTTATGCATACATTCTCACATAAAAATACATTCATACATAAATCAACATTCACATCAGTATTACTACAAAAGCATAAGCTTCACACACGCCTTCTCAATCACGACTTAGCGCCAATTGTATCAGCGGCAGCACTTTGATCGATGATAAATCTGCCAATATTGCCTCAATATTATCCAGCGATGAGACTTGCATGAGGCTCTCCTTGCGGAAACTCAAAATTATAATGGCAAAGAGTGAGAGTACTTCCAAGCTGTCATAGCCGAGAATCTGCAATAGTGAGCACAAAGCAAGTTATGAAATTTTTATATTTACGGAGAAAGGAGGTAGTTATACCAAATCCCATAGTATGAGCAGCTGATCCGGTGGTAGGTGTCCACTGAAGGCGCGCATTAGCCACTTGAAAACGATGCGGATGCTGAGAAGGAGTAGAAGGAGGAATACATATTACAAGTGTATGTACGTATATGAAAAACTAACTAACGTTAGCCTGTCAAAATTGGTATATTTATAGATGAATATACATATCTTATATAAGGGATACGCTATTCACGACTGCCTGGTTATTAGGTTACCTTAATAAAGATTATTATTCCCCATATTATTTTATGGACGGAAACTGAGTAAAAAAATATAACCAGTTAACCCGATAACCAAGCAGATGTAAATATTCAAAATATTTTTCCAGGTAAAGTTACATCAAAGAAGGTATTAGCAATGATATGAGTTGGTCTGTGATTTTACGAAAGGGATATGGGTGTAATGTGATCTGACTCGTGCACACAGGGCCAGAGTTCAGTCTAAAGCCCAAAATACAATAACGCAGTGGCAGTGGCAGTGGCAGTTTTTCGAAATCAGCTGTTTTTTTTTTAGAAAGTGTGGTGTCCAATGAAGCGACACACAGTACAGCAGTGGCAGCTGACAGTACTGCTCAGTTTAGCTCAAACTCTAAATTCACTGTCACTGCCTTCAACGCAGCCAACTTCTGTTTATGTCACTGAAGCCTAAAAGGCAACAAAACAAAAATGTAAACAAACAAAAGAGAATGCCAAAAAAAGCGTCACTGGCAAAGCCGTATTGTGTTTGCTGCGGCAGTGACTGCCAATATTAGCAGTAACAGCTGATTTTAAAAACTGCCACTGCCACTGCGCTATTGTATTTTTGGCTTAAAGTTGCCAAAAGTCAAGTATGAACTTGATTCAGCTCATTTCATTTTCGATTTGTAGATAAATAGAAATTGTTGAAAAATAACCCTTAAGACCTGCTTCCAGCTCTCAAGAAAAACGCAAAATTCATATACACTGCCGGAACAAAGTATTGACACAGCAAATTCTTCACAATATATGCAACAATTTTAATTCTAATATTTTTCCGCTAATTTCGTATAAAAATGTGGTTCATTCTACAACAAAATTCATCAAATTTTCATGACAATTTTCAACTTTTTAATCAGATTTTCTTAGAATTTTTTTGAGTATGCAGATTGGTAGCCCAATTAATTTTATTATAATAAAGTGCAAGTTTTAAGTAGCTAGGAATTACTGTTGATTTTTGGCAATTTTTTTCACGCAGTCTCTTCCATACAAAAAATTTTTTTCGAAAATACTTTATATGGAAAAAATGCAAAACACCTTCAACAAAAAAAAATTTCAAAAATCAACGCGATTTTTCACTAACTCCGAACTTAAATTTTTTTACTAGAATTTAATGGGCTGCAAAACTGCATATTCAAAAAAATTCTAGACAATCCGATTAAAAATTTGAATTTTTTTTTAAAATTTGCTGAATTTTCGCGAGTTTTGCACAAAGTTTAGGAATTATATTTTTATGTTTTTTGTTGTTGAATTAACCATATTTTTATACAAAATTGGCGGAAAAATATTAGAATAAAAATTGTTGCAAATATTGTGAAAAATTTGCTGTGCCAATACTTTGTTCCGGCAGTATACATAAAATGACGCACAAGAAATGGAAAAGAAATACTCTTCTATCAAAATTTCTTAAATCAGCAAAGTGTTTTTTAAAGCAACAGAAATAATGAAAAATATTTCTTATAATTTTTCTTGAGAGCTGGATTCTAAGATTTAAAGAATTAAAGAAAATATAGTAGAAAAAAAGAAATTGAAAATTAATGACGAAAAAAGTTGTATTCAGACAACAGAGACGACTTTATTCAGCCATGTAATCCTTAGATGTGTAATAGTTCTAAAACAAGACAGAAGGATGTGAATTACAAATTTTACTGGGCTTAGAGAATTGCTAATCGGACCGATTAACAGATAACCTAGAATAAGCTTAGGATCACAATGGGTTTTGTGTCATTTTATTTCTAATTACGCTGCGAGCACTAAAATAGTAGTGTGCACTTACGGTTAACGTTTTTTTAAATTACTAGAAAACCAAAATAATAGTTGCATTCATGATATTGAAAAACTGAAGGACAATTTCATAACTAAATGTGGGGTCAAAGGAGTACATAACAAAAAGTCTTAAATTTGTATTAAATTGTTAATATTAATACTAAAAGTTAGCACAATTACTTAGTATTTAGTAGCATGAACGGCGTTCACATCTTTCCTGAGGTATTGACTGCCATGCGCGGCCCATAGTTCGTGGTTATTTTTTGGTTTTAGATCCCATACGGCTTTCTTAAGGTTGGTCTAAATGTTTTCTATAGGATTGAGGTCAGGAGATTGAGCTGGCCACTGTATGAGTTCAATTCCGTTGTCTCGAGACCACAATTTTGCCAGCTTACTTGTATGCTTCGGGTCGTTATCCTGCTCTAGTACCCATTTGAGTGGCATTTTCTCTTTAGCGAATGGAAGTATAACATCCTTTATTGGCGTCTTACGAACTGCCGAGCCTTTACCACCGTATGCAAAAATTTTTGACTCATCCGTCCACAGAATGTTCCTCTGCTTCCGAATAGGCCAATCCAGGTGTTTTTTTGGCAAAATCTAGTTTGCGTATCACATGATTTTTTTTTGAAGTGAAACTTCTTAATCGAGTTCGGAGATGGTTGCGTTAAATATTTAACACCAAGCCATAAAATCTGTATCGTTCGTTCGATTTTCAAAAATGAGGTGTCACATGAAAGGCCTTGTCCTTCGCGTGTGCAACATAGCATTAGTTCCATGAAAGGAGTTGCCACATGTTAGAAAATCGAATTCAAAATTTCTCTGCCGCAGAGGACTGCGTAAAATATTTAACATCAAGTCATAAAATCTGTATCGTTCGTACGATTTTCAAAAATGAGGTGTCACATGAAAGGGCTTGACCTGCAGATGTGCAGTATAGTTTTAGTCTTTTAAAGGGTTGCCATATATACGAAAATCAAATTCAAATTATTTATTAAGTTAAACGAATTATCCCAATATGGGTATCAAAAGAAATGGTTTTGAATAAGTTGTATTTTCTACCTAAATTTAAGAGGGTTGCCACCTGTTTCAAAAGTAAAATTTAGTTAAATTATACAAAAGTCCTACGCTTAAAATACTATACAGTACAGAAAGAGCTTACAGAAACACAATTAAAATATTTCTGAAGAGGGTGGCCATCTGTTTAAAAAGTTAAACTCAAATTATTGAAGCAAATCTTATTATTATAGCTCCGTTATGTTTGCGATAAATATTTAACGCCACGGTACAGGTAGCATATGACGGGTATAGAAAACGAATAGCTGCGTTAAACGCCAATTGGGCGGGAAAAGACTAATGCAAAGACAAGAATATAATCAAAAACAAATATAAAGATAAGATGAAGATGAAGATGAAGATGAAGATGAAGATGAAGATGAAGATGAAGATGTATATCGCACATTTCTTTCTTTCTGGAATTTCCTCTATTAAGTTTCACTTCTTCCGCGCGTAGGGACTACACGCACTGAGTTTTTTTTTTCAAAAGCGATACTTTACGTGGACTTCTAGCACAAAGTGTGTGTTCTTGGAGCTGTCTTTTTACTGTAGTATGAACACTACATGGTAATTTTAGGTTGTTCAAAATTTCTAAAGCTGACATTGTGGGACGAGTCTTCGAATATTTGATAATTGCCGTATGGTAGTCGTTGATAATTCCTGCTTACCACCCCGTTTTCAGGTTTATTTTGATACGTTAACGTATTTCGAATCATGGAGGCTGTGAACATCCACCAAGTTTTTCCACTTCTTTATATGTTTTCCCCATTTTTAATAAGGGTTTTAATAATTTCACGTTTTTCGTGACCTCGGTGCAGACTTCGTACCACTAAAAATTACAAAATTGCGTTTTGTCTATTCCGGCTAAATATATATAAAAACCAAGTCATTAAACTTACTTTTTATTCCAAAAACTAAAATATTTGCATTTGAAGTTAAATTTTGCGACTTTATTTGTTATGCGCTACTATTTCACTGCTCGCCTTAAATGCCGTTCACAACAGGCAAAAAAAATTAAACCGTAGCTGTTGAACGCTTTGAAATTTGCATAGCGTTATATCATACACTAGAGATGATAATTAAAAAAAAAAAAAAAAACTCGATTCCAATATCGCATAGTATGCGACATCAAGGGCATAATGCATCTCGCAAGTGCGCACTACTAACGGGTGATTTTTTAAGAGCTTGATACCTTTTTTTTTAAAAAAAACGCATAAAATTTGCAAAATCTCATCGGTTCTTTATTTGAAACGTTAGATTGGTCCATGACATTTACTTTTTGAAGATAATTTCATTTAAATGTTGACCGCGGCTGCGTCTTAGGTGGTCCATTCGGAAAGTCCAATTTTGGGCAACTTTTTCGAGCATTTCGGCCGGAATAGCCCGAATTTCTTCGGAAATGTTGTCTTCCAAAGCTGGAATAGTTGCTGGCTTATTTCTGTAGACTTTAGACTTGACGTAGCCCCACAAAAAATAGTCTAAAGGCGTCAAATCGCATGATCTTGGTGGCCAACTTACCGGTCCATTTCTTGAGATGAATTGTTCTCCGAAGTTTTCCCTCAAAATGGCCATAGAATCGCGAGCTGTGTGGCATGTAGCGCCATCTTGTTGAAACCACATGTCAACCAAGTTCAGTTCTTCCATTTTTGGCAACAAAAAAGTTTGTTAGCATCGAACGATAGCGATCGCCATTCACCGTAACGTTGCGTCCAACAGCATCTTTGAAAAAATACGGTCCAATGATTCCACCAGCGTACAAACCACACCAAACAGTGCATTTTTCGGGATGCATGGGCAGTTCTTGAACGGCTTCTGGTTGCTCTTCACTCCAAATGCGGCAATTTTGCTTATTTACGAAGCCATTCAACCAGAAATGAGCCTCATCGCTGAACAAAATTTGTCGATAAAAAAGCGGATTTTCTGCCAACTTTTCTAGGTAATAAAATTCAATGATTTGCAAGCGTTGCTCGTTAGTAAGTCTATTCATGATGAAATGTCAAAGCATACTGAGCATCTTTCTCTTTGACACCATGTCTGAAATCCCACGTGATCTGTCAAATACTAATGCATGAAAATCCTAACCTCAAAAAAATCACCCGTTATTTCAGTGATCGTAACTATATATTTTAGTTTACAGCGGCATTTGACTTTTACTGGTTCAAAATTGGTTTTAAACAGAGTCATATGCACTACCTCCCACATCCCAGAAATTTAAAATCAGCTATAACACAGGAACCCTATGTATGCTCCAATTTGTTAAAATTTTTATTGAGTACCTTACTAATATAAATACTCATAACAAAAAAATTTCCAAATTTAATCCCGCGATTAGCGATTCGATATTTTTGAACAGAAAAAGTATTTTTTAAACAAACTTAAACATAAGTTTGTTTGATTGACAGAGTGGTATTGTCTAGAAATTATCATCAAGAAACCGTTCAGCCCAATAATAAAATTTCAAACAACGCCACTCTGTGCTTGTGGAAAATATGCTCGACCGATCACAGGATGGTGTTGTGTAGAATTTTTTTTAAATCTCATTAGGCGGAACATATAACTTTTATTTTCGGATTTTATTAACTATGAAAATAAATCTGTTCAAAGTAAACAAAACCATATTTGGCGCAAAATCATATGTGGTTTCTCAGTGTGCTTTTTAACAAAAATAATTATATAGACTGAACACTAAGGTCTAAAAGTTCGTTGCGTGGTGATCTCTGTTGAGATTTAATGGTTTTTGAAAATTTTCAGACTCTATAAGTGATAAGTTTAAAGCCAATCCGATAGGATTTTGAATTTTGGACAGCTTTGATCCCTTCCTGTCCCATAGTGTCGTGAACCGATGTAATTTAAGCTCAGGTGTTTAAATCGTTGCTGAAACATTCAAAGGCCTTGGCAAATAGTTTGATAAGGACCAAACCATGAACCTCATTCCGAAATTAAAAAACCCATCAACCACACGAAGAATGGAAAATATTGCTTCGATCTCGATATACAGTATTGGGCATATCTATAGCACCCCCCTTTCAAAGCGATATTGTTTGCCACTTATGTTTAATTATTTGTTTTTAAGAATTTTCAATTAAAATACAGTTCATTCTCTAACAAAACCCATATAAACCAATGTTTTAAACTTTTTAAAAGACCGCAAAAAAGTGCAACAAATTTTCCCTTAAATTTCAAACTTTTTTCTCAGAAGCTCTAGAATTTTTTTGAGTACACAGTTTTATAGCGCATTCAATTTTGTCCAATAATGTGGAAGTTTCAAGTCGCTAATGATTACCGTTGATTTTTTAGAATTTTTTTTGTCTCATTTGCTTCCATATAACGACTAAACACAATTTATTTTTATATGGCAGAAACCCGTAAAATCCTCGGCGAAAAAAATTCTAAAAAATCAACGGTAATTTTTAGCCACTTGAAACTTGCACATTATTAGACTAAAATTGAATGGGCTATAAAACTGTGTATTCAAAAAAATTCTACCGCTTCTGAGAAAAAAGTTTGAAATTTGGGTTAAAATTTGTTGCACTTTTTTGCGGTCTTTTAAAAAGTTTTAAACTTGAGTTTATGTGAGTTTTGTGAGAGAATTAACTGTATTTTAATTGAAAATTCTTAAAAATAAATAAATAAACATGAGTGGCAAATAATATCACTTTGAAATGGGGGTGCTATTGTATTGGCCAATACTGTATGTATAGTGCTTATCATAATTATATGACACCCACATATTGACAAATTTTGACTATTTATTTTAGAAAATTTTTAGGTTACCAGTGTTTTAGGCCATTGAATTCTAAGTGGTAAGTTTTAAGTAGCTACAAAGTACTGTTGACTTTAGCCAGTTGTTTTTATCAAAACTTGTCAACATGTGGGTGTCGTATAGTTATGATAAGCACTATATTTGTAATTGCTTAGTGAAAAATTATGCATATAACTTTTCAGAATTCAGCAATGATTTACCCTATACAAATCTATCAAATGAGATAAAGAAGCAAGCATATAATAATGAGATTTCTAAAATATACTTACGGTTGTATTTGCAGTTCACGTAAGTGCGACCATAGCTGCGGTTCATGCGTTTGCAAAAGCTTCTCAAAAAGCAGACATAAGCTGACAATGCCCTGCAAAGAAAGCGTTTTATGTGAATGGCTCGGAATATCAACCCATACTCCACGATAAGCCCAACCCACCTGCGGATGTGTATTTATTGTGGTCAATCGATGGCAGTAGCGTATATAGAAAGCGCGAAATGTGAAGTACAAATTAATGGAAGAATCATATAAGTAACAGAATGGAGCCGCTGTAAGGTAAAGCAACAAATGAAAACCATATCTTTGTGGAACTTCCAACATCATTAAATACCAAACATGCAAATGCCATGGAAGGGCACCACACCTGATGGCGGACCATCATAATTTCTACCCTTCACCGGATATTTTTCAAATTGTATTTGACCGGCTATCTCCGTGTCGCGCGAAAAGCATAACATTATCTGATAGAGCACATCTTCGAAAACAAAATACTGATCGTCATTTGAAGCCGTCAATTGAATGTCCTTGAAAATTAGTTTATCCACAATGTGATCGGTGGTTAAAACTTTATTGCGTAAATTCGCCCAATGATCGCATTCCTGAAGCAGACAAAGAAGAGTGAATGCACTCGATATGGAAGTGATTAGTGAAAAAAATAAAAATGTTAATGCAATTAAAGTGTCCTTAAAATAAAAGTGCAATGATAGTTCAATGCGTTCCAGTATCACCAATAATGATTTCCAAAACGAGATTCAACTACATATCTCTCCCCACCAACCTGCCCATTCATGTAACTGCCGTGCGATAGCACAAAGGACCATAGTTCACCACGAAATGGTGGCGGCGTTCTGCCCTTCTTCAGGAAATGTTGACAAAGTGGCGCCTGCTTGGTTTCCAGTATACGCTTGCATTGTGTGGGTAAGTCCAAAATATTTGTTTTACTTTCTTTGCGCAAGAGCTCAGCGAATAGCAAACGCTGGAGATTTGAGAAAAATAGAGTTTTAAAAAGGTTTTGATTTGCTTTAAACTCGTTTGTGTGTCTTACCAATTCAAAGAGGTTCTTTACAGGCAAATCGATGTGTGAAAACTCCCAATTGGGCACTTGCCTGCGGAAGAAAATAGGTTCAACTTTAAAAAATTGCAATAAATATGTTTTAGCGAATTATTTAATTTTAAGTATTGAGGGGAAAAAATGTACACAAACTCAGTGTCTCCTGCGGGCTTTTGTGGGCCCTTGAGTGACAACAAGACATCCAGCAGATCCTTTGGCGCATAAACGGGTCGGTAGTTGGATAGATCTATAAAAAAGTAAAATAACCATTTAATAATACTTGGCTCTTCCAGGACATAAAAAAAGAATGAAATAAATTATGTGGAAAGCTTTTGATGAAATGTAAAGCCCGTGAAGAGTAGTCCCAACCTTGTGCGGTTTCTCGGGGTTTCGGTTTTTTGAGTTAAGACAGTATTGCAGTAAATGAGCGATAAGTACATACATGATTGTGAATAGTCTTATAGTATGAAAATACATGGAGAAAAAGTTGTTATCTATTCAAAAAAAATAAATTAAATTAAATAAAAAATACTTGCTGGCAGGTACAAATGCGGACCGAAAATTCTGTCAAAAGCAGAATCAAAACGTTTCAAGATCGGGACTAGTTTCCACAGAGATGAAGATGGAAATTTGGGCATCTGCTGAATATGTTTTTTATGAAAAAGAATCCAGCTCATTTTTTTTAGGGACGAAGCTCACTCCATTATTCAGAGCCGGAGGCTCTTAAGCGCAGTTTTATCTAACGAGAAGGGCAAATCCCGCAATGTGTGCCCATCATTCTATAACTTCTATCGACGATACTGTGTGAAAGACATACATAAGTATTTAAGGGACGAGCTGGTTGGGTGTTATCAGTGTGGCATCAGCCCTGGTAACTCCACTAGATTTTCGCAGCACCTCTAATCCTGCAAATACCTTAAATAGTTAATCGATTTTAAATTCGCTTTAGATAGCTCGAGGAGAAGGGCCATGTACGACGACATGTCTAAATTTGAGGTCCGCGCAAAACCGATACGAATACTTGCATATCTTATACCTTAATATAGAAGAACCCTATCTAAAATGTTGGCATCTTTACGGAGTATTTACACCACTTTCAAATTCCTGTGTTTTGATAAGCACTAAAACTAATTTATTGATGTAATAGTTTATTTTTAAATTATATTAGGCCATTACTGAGTAATCTGCCGATCTTTGTACAAAGCTGAATTCCGAAAAAAGTAGTTAGGGGTTTTCTATATTAAGGCGACGAATGTAAAGTGGCCTTAAGCAGAACCTTGAGCTTGGGTGGGGAAAGAGTTTGATTAAAATTTTTTTACATTCAGAAGCGACCAACTTCAAGAATAAAACTGAGTTCAATTTGGAAAATTACAAAAAAAAAAACATTTTTTTTTTTACAAAAGTATAATTTGGCACACTTTTTCGCAAAAGTCGCAAAAGCTTGATTTAAAAAAAAAACATTCGTCGTAATTTTGCAGAATTTTTTCCTTTTACAGGAACTCTAGAACTTTTGAAAAGCTACTTAGAACAGTTTTAATATTTATTTATTTATTTTTTTTTAAAATTGTGCTTTCCGACTTTTTTGAAAATGTGTTTTTTTGCGTAATTTTGCAAGACTTTTTTTTCCTTTTCAGGAATTCTAGAACTATTGTAAAAATTTAATTTTTTCAAAAATTAAACTGCACTTTTTTGAAAAAAAGATTTGTCGGCTTAATTTTTCAGAACTTTTTTTCCTTTTCAGGAACTCTACAACTATTGAGGAGCTACTCAGAAACGTCTTTTTTCACATGTCGTATGCTGCGTGAATCTGGCATTGAAAATTTTTGAAACAAATTTGTTTGTCAAAATATCCAGAACTTTTTTCCCCCTTTCAAGAACTTTTTGCGTCTTACCGTATGCTAACTTCACAGACATGGTTGGCAGTGAAGGCATTAAGGGCTTCCGAGACAACTATTTTACTAAAGATCTATCACCCTGCTAGTGTGGTTGACGGGTAACGAAAATGGAATGCGAGGGCTTGGACATGATGTAGGTATGGGTGATAAGAATTAAATAATAATTAAAAACAAAACTTCGAATGATCCGTAACCATAGATAGCTGATGCATCTAATACACCGTGCGACAAAAATAAAAAAATTCGAAAAACGCAAATGCACCAAAAAATTAAATCTGCGTTAATTCTACAGAATATTCTCTTTAATTTGATATCCATAATAATGTTTTTCTCATTGCACTGAATTTCTTAGAAAATTTTTTGAAGTAATTAAAATTTTTCAAATTTCAAGTCCTTTTAAAGAAATCCAGAGAAAAACTAAAAACACAGCTTTACTATATTTGGCCCATGGTTTCGTGAATTGAATTTTTTTCGTGTGAAATTGACTGTCGCACGCTGATATCAGTTTAGTCTCAGTGTACTATCACTTTGAAAAACTATGAAATCGGGTTCAACCCCGCCCTTAGTGACTGCCAACACCCACTTACCAATATTGTAATTGCTCAACTCATCCCATTTACTAATCAATTCATCGCGATCCATCACCGGACGTGGTTGCCCCTGCAGCGGCATACTCAGTTCGGCACACATGGCATTCAAACTTTTGCGTACACGACGATCCCATTGCACATCTGCTCGACGCAAATATCCCAGAGGATCGGCGCTGTGCGATAATTTCTCCTGCGACTTTTGTTGTTCTGTGCTTAGTGTGTTGCGTACTAAATGGAAAACGACATTGCGTATTTCGGTTTCAAGACCCGTCGATTTGATGGCATCCTCCAAAGTGTTGCGCAGATCGTTTTTATCAACGCCAGAACTGCAGGCAAGTTTCTAAGCCAATGAGTGAAAAAATGTTTTAATATAGCGGTGCTCGAGGATTTTGCTATATGTATATGTATGTCTGTATTTACCTGCACTTTTTTGAAAATCTCGTTATAGTTTTTCATGGACTTTATCGCAATGGCGAGCTTTTGTGCTGTGTGGTGTATGCTGGCATCGCGCAGCTCTTCCATTTTCGGAAAAATTCGTTTGGTTTCTTACCACAAATTACGACTTATGACTGTATATTAATTCCTAACTTATAAATTTATATAAATTGTGCATTTCGACGTTGAATTTTGTTTGCAATATTTGTTTCCTATTATTTTAAAAGTTTCTGACTTTATTGTTATTTTGATTTAAATTATTATTAGTATTTTTTTTTAATTTCCTGACAGTTTTATGCACTTATCGATCAAATACTAACTGCTATGGCAACCAACAGTGTTGGCAGTTGCTCTAAATACAGCAGAAATTCCGTTAGGGGTATTAAGTCAGCATTGGAAATGGCTAAGGCAGATTTACTGTTAAACAAATTAGATTTGCTATAAATATGCGCAAGTCTAAGTCACTCACAACAAAAATGTATGCTCATTAATTTTAACATTGGCATATTTATGCCTTAATTACCATTTCAATCTATCAGAAGGCCACTTATCATCACCAAATTGACGAATAAAAATTAATTCCGAACGTCTCACGTGTTGAGTGAAAATTGTTCACGTACAAACGCATAAGACATCAGTGAACTGAGAAATTTAACGCCCACGCAACCACATCTTTTTGGTCGGGCGGCAAACAAACAAATTTTCCGCACTATTTACTCACAAATAAATCAAAATAAATATGAACCCATACATAAATTCTTATTACTCGCCTATTCGAATGTTTGTGAATGAGTGCGTTTCCAAGTGAACTTGACGTATGGATATTAGACTGGCTCAAGTTCCATAAAAAGAAAAATTTTTGTAAGCGTATTACTCAATTTTCTAGCTGGCACTAGAGATGGGCGCGTGAGAAATTTTGGCTCACGTTCACACACGCTCACAAAGCCTCGTTTTTTAAATTGAAATTTATGCTTTACTTTTATAAATTCCATTTCATATAAATTGGCTTTTATCGCATACTTGGCCCAAACTTTAGCAATAACAGTGCTCGGCAGTCGGATGGGGTATTGATGAAACCCAGTTTTTCTGAAAGTCTGAATTGTATATCGATGGCTGAGTGGAAGATCGACCTATCTCGGCAGCCGATTCGAAAACGCCCTATCGCAGGAAACTTTTCAAGAACGCCCTACTTCAGAGTTTTATTGAAAAACAACCTATTTCAGAATTTTATTGAAAACATTCTATCTCAGAATTTTGTCGAATTCAGAATTCGTTTCAAAAACGTCCTATCCCAAACGAAAATACACTGAAAATAAGCTGAGATAGGGCATTATTCAACCAAATTCTGAGGTAGGGTGTTTTTCAATCAAATTCTGAAGTAGGGCGTTCTTGAAAAGTTTTCTGAGATAGAACGATGTTGAAAAATTTTCTGAGATAGGGTGTTTTCGAACAGGCTGCCGAGATAGGTCGATCTAGAAAAGTAATTTCTCAGTTTGGACAGGTTGGCGATTCAGGCGTTTTTTTCAAATGATTTATCGAAATTAAATTGCAGATTCAGATTCTACGTAGCCGAAAACCCCCAGAATTTATTTTAATTATTTAAAATCGCAAAATTGAGAAATTACTTTTCTATATACAATTCAGCCTTTCAGAGAAACTTGGTTTCATAGGTTCCCCCGAAAAAAAATGAAAATCTCGTACAGTGTAATAAAATAATATTTTTTCGAGGTTTTCATCAAGCATCTTTCTTCTAGAACTCTGCCTGAGCCCCTGACACAGAGTTTTTTCACTGGCTGCTGAGATAGCTGGTATGTTTGAAATTTCAAATGGCGTTAGTTTGAGCAGGTAAATATAAAGCTTGTTAAACATTTTGATGCAGATCTTTGTGTATTCTGTTAAAAAAGAGTTCAAGATTTATACCAATTTATTATCGTGCCTCATCCTAATATCCATAGCAAAGGTACAAATTACATATCAACCTATGGCAGATATGTATTCTCATGCATGTGTAGATATGTATGTACATGTGTATGTATTTCTTATACATATGTGCATAAGTAGATGCATACGTCGAAAATGCATAGCTTCTGGTTAAGTTATTTCACCTACATACTTGTCAACCCCGTGGCCAATAGATGAGTTATGAGTTATGAAATATACAATTTTTGACCGTCTTGCGCAACAAATATGCGGATATGTACAAGTGTATATTACTTAAGTGATTTATGTTTTTGTTAAAATCTATTTATTTTGGCACACC